TGTGGCGCGCACAATTGTCCCACGTACCGCGGCGGGCAAATAGTCTTGTCTCTGGGCGCGCACAATAGTCTCGCGGTGGGTTCACCGGTTTCCCGAGGGTTCAAGGAGCAAGGATGCTCCGGAAAAAACTGGATTTCCTTGAAATCCAGCACTCAAAAAAAAAATAAAAATGGCGTGGCGTGACGTCGGTAGCCTTCTTTTTTTTTGAGTACCCTGGACTGTCTCCGTACGCGTTTCCTTCGGGACTGGTCCACAGGACTGACCGTACGATCCTTTTTTCCCGCACCACCCTCGAACCCGGACGCACTGACCGCCACCGCGCACCATTAGTTTAAGGGTGAATGCGAGGGGTGGAATGAAGGAACTACAAAAAATATATTTACTCCGCGGCACGTCATCCCCTCCCCTAGACGAGGTCTAGTCGGGAGAGATAGGTTCCGGATCTTGACCTATTTGTCCTGATTGGGAGCGAGAAACCATCTCACCGAAGTCGTGGCGTGTACTACACTGTATAGTGTCTGCGGAGAATCTGCGGTCCGGGTACTTATTCTCCGGAGGGCGGATGCGCTTCTAATGGGGTTGCAGCTTGGGTGAAACTGGCCTCCATTTCACCCAGGTGGGTTATGGCCGCCCTTTTTGCTTGAYGAAGATCGACGTTTCCCTGCGRGTTGGGGATGGCATCAATCAGTAGCATACCCCGAGTGACGTTCTCCTCCAGCTGTGCTGCCTTCAAGCCGGTCCACTTGGCGGCTTTAGTACGCAGATCGCGGATCAGTGCCAAATCTGCACATACGGTGGTTGTCGATGCTGGTGTCTCCGGCGACGCCTTTGTCGGGATGGCCGTCGTGCTGGGTGTGTCCGTGCTTGCCGGCGGTTGCATGGGCGGGACCGTGGATGGCTTATCCGTCGTAAGTCGAGCCTGCGGAACGAGTCGATCCGAATATGGCATGGCAATGCGAGCCCAATCGTCCGGAAGAACGCTCTCGGCCTCTGAAGTGTAGTTGAAGTCTTCCTGTTCCAGGTCGACGTTATTGCCCGCTGGGGCTGGTCTCAGATCGTGGAGGTGGCGATTGAACGGCTTTTCGTTAATTAGCACGTCGTAAGTGCTGTCCCCATTGACAGCCACGATTTCTCCGGGGCCTATCCACATCGGCGCAAAAGCTTCCTGGGTATGCGTCCGGACATTCACCTGGTCGCCTGGCTGGAATCTTACGCCGGGCTTTTGCTTTCTGTCGGGATACAGCCGTGCCTGGAAGTCTTCTTGTCGCTGGAACACACTTTGATTATAGTTTTTTCTTTCCTGCGGAGTAAGGACACGTCTTGCTTCCTTGTATTTGATAGCCCATTCTCCGGGGCAGGGTAGCTCATAGCCCAAGACGATTGAAGCTGGGGTGGCTCCGGTGGCCCGGTTGACGCGGGATC